TTTTTTTTTATTTCGAAAGTATTCATATCTGTTAAAAAAATTTGTTGTTTAATATAAGGCAGTCTTCTTGAATTTTGGGTGGCGACTAATGCCCAAGAAAGAAGTATTTCTTAAAAATACTTAAAGATATGAATAATCACGTGTGTTACGATTAGTCTCTTATAGTTAGAGAGGTCAACTCGTGTACTTATTATAGTCTTGTTATAATCTCAAGTACCATTCATGTGGGAAAATGTGTATCCATTTATTGAAAATGTATATTTATCAAATCCAACCTTGCTAATTAAAGATTGTCATTGAAAGATAGACCATATCATGTCAATGCAATTTCATTGTTACATGCATGACCATATGACTATTTTCTGTCTCGTCTTCTATTAGGAGTTCAGGACGTCTGTTGAAAATAGTTGAGTTGAGTTGCATATTTTTTTGAACACTCGTAATTTTTTAATTAGTTTCTTATTGAACATACCGAAACCCTGAGCAATTTGTTATTGAATATCTTCAAAAAAATAAAAAGGTTTTAAAGCATCATATCACTAAAATAGGGACAATACGTATGTTCCAAACAAAAATGAAAGAAATAAATATAATTTATTCTACATCAACCATTGATATGAACTGCATATTTTCGTCTGATGGGTTAAGATTCATCTGATTGTGATATGAATTGAAACGAAAATTTACATTGAACTCTCTATTTTAGAGAAATTTGATAGTACTTGTTATGTTAGGTTAATCTTCTAAATCAGTGTAAGTCATAGTTTTGAGACCTGGACCGGCCCGACGGGTCGACCCTGGACCCGGTAGACTCGGAGTCGAAACCGGTCTGGTGGGCTAATTGGATCGAACAACAAATGACCAGGTCAAAATCCAGCCAACCCGGCCTTGACCCGGTCGACCCGGCTCATCGACCCGCTTGGATCAACTCGGTTGACCCGGTCACCCAGAGACTTGCCCGAGTCAATTATCGGCCGGGTTTAAAAACTATGGTGTAAGTGCTAGAATTTAATCTTGTTACTATTGGAATGAATTATTATATATATATATATA